CTAAAGTAGTATTTTTATTTTTTTTAATAATGACATGACATCACCTTACAGTGACACGATAGCATCATTTTTAAGTTTTTAACGGAGGGATATCAAAATGAAACTTAAACTGAACGTTAGCTATGAATTTTGAAAAAAAATAACGTTTGAGTACCAAAATAAAATAATAGTAATAATTTAGATACTAAACGTGTAGTTTACCCTAAAATTTAACTAACTGGAGTCCACCCTTGGAGACTGACTTACTCAACGATTTGGTCAGACTTGGAGCTTTCAAAAGAAGGGTTACGTCCGCTACTGAAAATAATATAATGCATTGGCAACTCATACCTGCCAACCCTAACCTAATACGTGTCGCTATATCATTGGCTATTAACCTACCCATTGACCCCTAACTTTATTCTTTTCTTACGACTCTATTAAGTCTATTTCCACGTATTCCGTAGCATATTAAAACATTACTTTAAATCATATATTTAACCTTAGCCCTACACGTGTACGTTGAGGCTTTTTGTCTTTTTCTAACAAAAAAATTAATGAAAATAAAAATATGATGATTATTTTTTAAAAATTATTTATATTAAATATATTGATAGATTAATTTATATCAAATATTATAAATTTTATTATATGATAATTTTTTTAGTTTAATTTAATTTTGATATTTGATAACAATATAAATGATTTGTAAATAGCAAATTATGATTAAATTCATATAAAAATTACACAACCAAAGTTTATAAATGTATTACGTTACATGTTAAATTAAAATTTTAAAGTATATTAAAAAAAATTATTTAATCTTCTATTGGTGGGCAAAGACGCTTAAATCATACATTAAAAAAAATAGCTCATTTAGGATATTAGGAGAATTATTTCTTGAGATAATATATTTAGTATTTACTATAGTGCTTATAAAAAGACGTATGGATTTGTGCATCTTTAGGAAGGCGCCTTAAAGACATGTCATCTTCTGTTTTGTTACTCTGTTAGATTTGATACTACGACTGTATACAATATGGGGAATACACTATGTCTTCTAAACGTCTTCCTAAAAGCATATGGTAGTTTGTGTCTTCCTAGCAGTACTGTAACAAACAGTCAAACACCTTGTGTCAAAAAATAGTTCCCTCAACACATCAAATAAATTAATTTTTTCCATAATATTATCTAAGAATTTTTACCATTATTAGTGCTCAATATATATGCATATTTTAATTTTTATGTCAGTGATGTTTTTTATTTTTAAATTTTTTAAATCAGAATAAATTCTCAAAAATTATAAAAAATAATTAAACCCTCAAATTTTTAAAAGAAAAATAATTAAGCTCATATGTTATATTATTCACATGTGACAATCATATTAATATCGTAAAGTATCACATTAATTTCATAAATTGTTGTATCAATGTTATAACAATTAGCGATGATTTTATAGATCAAAATATCATATTGGTTAATTTTATGAATTTATGGGCTTAATTGGGTGTATAAAATTCAGATGTTTAATTATTGTTTTTTCCAAAAAATCAGTAGTAAACGTGAAATTTTGAAACATTTAGGGTAAGTAGTTGAAATTAAGACGCGTGTTCAAACTATCAAATAAGGGCAAATTATAAAATTCTTCAAATTAAACCCTAACCTTCTACGTGGTAACATTTGACTGGTTACTTCCTCATTGAAATCCCTATTAAAAGCTCCATTACTCTTTATTAAACATTCAATCATTTGATATTAAACGTTCACACTCTTTATATTCACGATACTTCAACTTGAGATACAAAAAAATAACAACTCATTTATCATCAAAGATTGTTTGGTTTGCACTTTCATAGACATATTAAATATTTCTAAGATAATACATTCAACCTTAGCCCTACAGTTGTATTTTTTTCTTCACATGATTAGGTCATTTTTTAGCAATATATAAAATTTTGCCAAATATGTAAAATGAATTTTAGTTATTTTAAATTTATATAAAAAATATTATTTAAAAATATCAAACAATATATAAATATTGTTTATATAAAATTAATTGATTTAGTTTTGCATATAAAAAATTTAGTTTCATTCATATCGTAAACAATGATGGTCATGAGTCGAATCAGATTTTTAGCTCATTTTTACTCTATCTGAGTATAAAACCTTTCCCATATCACTCGATCTGATTTGGGTTTAAAAATTTTCATCCGAATCAAAATATGAATAAATTTTTAAGGAAAAAATTATACCTAACCTAATCCGACATAAAATATATAAAAAATTATCATTTCTATTAAGTGAAATATAAATTTAATTAAAAATATATAGATAGAAAATGATATTATAATAGTTATCTCTATATGTATAAATATAAATATACTATTATTTTCAGATATTTTTAACATTAAAACTGAACTCAAATCTAGACCTGATTTTTAAAAAAATATCTTATTAATTCTGACTATAATCAATTGAATTCAGATCAAATGTCCTTTCTAATAGTAAATGCTTTAGCAACTAGTTATTTATTATTTCCCCTCATCTACGTGGATTTTCTAGTTAATAGAAAATTAATAAAATATCTATAAACGAATTTAAATGAGAAAAGGGATTGATTGTGAAATTTATAAAAGTGTGGGGGAGTAGTGGGAAATAAAGCTACGTGTTCAAATTACAAAGAAGGACGGCAGATTATATAATTCCTCACAAAGCAGTGCGCGAGGGAGAGGCCAAGAGGGGGTGGCGCACCATCGGATACAGGTCAGCAAAAGACACGTGTCGAATATTTGGGGTTAAGATCAAGGGTTCAGATATTCTGCTAGGCGTCAATCGGGTGGGAACCCTTAACATGTGGTCCCACAATTCTTCCATCTGTTACGTCGCAGAAATTTTATTAAATGCCCTCTAGTTTTAGATTTGTTTTCCCTCTACTCGCAGCCCCCTGGGTGCGTATGCTCACGCTCCTTCCATTGACAAAATATGGTCTCAACAACGTTAGTAGAGAAAAGAGAGAATATTTTTTGTTAACCATTGGTGTGATTTATTTATTGATTATTTTAGATTAAATTTGTAGAAATTTATTATAGGAGTGATTCTTTTAATTCAGTTTGTTCAATCTATAAATGTCGAAATTTGAGCTCTTAAAGACTTATTGAGTTGTAAATATTCTTTTAATTAGTGTCAAATCTAAAGTGATGATGATAATTTGTAGATTGACAAAATGAATAGACATAATATTTATATAAAGATTTAGTTAATGATAAAACTGACATCGGTTAAATTAATAGACTGTAACATTTTGAAATACATAGAATTCTAGAAGTTTAGACTATGGAGACTATAATACGAATGATTAATAATAGAGATACATTTTACAGAAAAAAATTGAAAGAGATACAACAATTTTATTATTATTTAATTGAAAGTGAAAATAAACTATGGGTTAAACATGAGATTTTTCAAGATACGGAGGACCCTTGACGTCTCGATCGACAAGTAATTGAATTTGACGAGGAGCACGATCGTATAAAGCCATCGAGAACAAATCTGGAGGCATCATTTCTGCTAGCTCATCTGCAACCATGTTACCTTCACATGTAAACCCAAATCACCTCAGTGAACCAGCTTTGTTTCTGAAACTTTGCAATATCACGAACAAGTGGAATTTTGCTGGTGTCAGCGTTGGTACATTGCACCAGTTGTGCTGCTTCTTTGTTGTCTGTTTGGACTGCAAGAATTCAAAGTCAAGAGACCAAGCAATTTGTAGACCGTGAAAAAATACCCCACAATTCAACTTGAAGAATAGAGGAAATGTCGTTGCATTTGTTGAACTCAATGATCCAAGAGCCATCATTTGTACGAATAACACCTCTAATGGAATCACGATCAGTTGCCGCATCAATGGCACCGTCTGTGTTCAGGTAACACTAGTCAAAAGGAAGCTTCTTCCATAACACATTAACGAATACGGTTATTAAAACCACTTTATGAAATATTACTTAAGAAAAATATGCGAGTGTCTAACAATATGTTCATACAAATGCAAGAAATAGTTGGGATCAAAACATTCTAATCATTCCATAATAATCGTATTTTTGTATTTAAATAAAAATTCACGATTTTCTTAAAAATTATAAAATAGTTTCTTAACGAAGTAAATTTGACAACTATCTATTTTATCGTAACGTTATTTCAAAACTGATCAAAATCAAAGAAGCGATAAATAAAAACACGTTTCTTATTGATAATTGTTTATACATTGAATTCAAAATCTTCGCCGCAATAACATTAACATCTTCCCAATTCATTGTGAATGATTGTATTGTACATACATCTTATAGGAGCCATTCACATAACACAATTGGTATTTGACCAACAACACCTTAATGACTTCAAATGTTATAATTATCAAATTCGAGTAGTGTATCCAAAATAATTATCAAAATTAGATGAGTTGATTAATCAAAAATCGATGTAATAATTAATTAAATTAATGGAATAAAATCAAACATATAAAAAGAAGGTTAAAATCTAGAACGTGACTAAACATCACTCTCAAAAGAAGGCGTGTGGCGGCAAGTCGAGCAAAGGAATCTCGTATTTCACGATCTCGCCACGTGGTGATATATTAACAAAAGCTTATTCTTAATAATTTTCTTCGATAAAAAATAAATAAAATTGAAAAATATAAAACAGCGATGAACAGAGAAACAAAGAGCGGTGTCAGAAAAGTAAGGTCGTTTCAACTACTCGTGTCTCCCTTTAATTGGTTCACATTTCCCACGTCTCCTTTAAAAATTAAAATACATTTCTACGTGTCACTATTTCAACAGAGCTGATCATACCGACGGTCCACGATTCACTAAATCGACGTCATACCAACTGCACGTGTCGGGTCCATCTTGCCCGGACGGTGACGGGTAGCCTGCCCGTACTTTGATTGTGGCCCCCAGGTGGAGATTAGATCTCTCTCTTCTCTATCACTACAAAAGCTCCCTTCTCTACCATTTTACTTTCATTTACGATTCAAATCTCTAATGAGAAATTAAAAGAGCAAATGATCTCTCTTTGATTTTGAAACGAAGTTTGTTCTTAACTATAAGCTATATTCGATTTTTTTTTTGTTTTGAAATTTTATTTAGTATTCTAAATGGCTGGAGTTTGCTGTGGAGTTATTGCGGAGATTGAATCAGCAGCTGCGGTTGAACAAACCGCGAGATCTTCCCGTCGCCGGAGAATGGATCTGCGGCCGTGTAAGTTAGTCACCGACGCCTCCGTTTTACCGCCGTTGGAAAACGGTAGAAAATGTCAGAAACTGGATTTGGATCTCGTACTCCAAGTTTCTCGAGACTTTGATAACGCGATTGAGAACTCGGAATCTATACACCTTAACGAATATCGCGAAATTAATGACGGTTTTAATTCTAACGGAACAGTGGAGTTGGAGACTGAAACGGAACAGCCGAAGTACGGTTTGACTTCCGTTTGCGGAAGGCGACGCGATATGGAAGACGCCGTTTCGATTCATCCGTCGTTTTGTAAACTAAGCTTTGAAGCTGAAATTTCGTCCGATATTCACTTTTTCGGCGTGTTTGACGGCCATGGCTGCTCTCATGTACGAAAACAAATCTAATCTCCATTTGAATTGAAAATATTACGTAAATTCTGAATTTAGTTTTGCTTATAAAGGTCCGTTGTATTTTCAAGGTTGCGGTGAAGTGTAGAGATCGGTTTCATGAGATAGTTAAAGAAGAAATTGAAGCCTGTCGCGGCGGAAAGACGGTGGACTGGAAGCTAACGATGGAACGAAGCTTTGAGAGGATGGATAAGGAAGTTCAAGAATCGGCGGTTGAAGTAAAAGAGAATTCAAATTGCCGATGCGAACTCCAAACTCCACAGTGCGACGCCGTCGGATCCACCGCCGTGGTTGCTATTGTGATGCCGGATAAGATCGTCGTCGCCAACTGCGGTGATTCCCGCGCTGTCTCGTGTCGGAACGGCGTAGCTCTTCCCCTCTCCGACGATCACAAGGTATTAAATTATTTTTTATTAATTTAGTATTTGAAATAGTATTTTAATAAAAATCGAATTAAAATAAAATCGCTCATCAGATTTTTTCGATATTCTATCGCTCTTATTTGTATATTAATTTTATTGATGATCACAGCCGGATCGACCCGATGAACTGCTCCGAATTGAAGAAGCGGGCGGCCGAGTAATTTACTGGGATGGCCCTCGAGTTCTTGGTGTTTTAGCCATGTCTAGAGCGATTGGTAAGTTTTAAAAAAATAAAAAAATATATAAATAAATTATTCCCTTTTATTTTTAGTTCTTTAATCTAATTTATGAATTTTTAATTATTAGGTGATAATTATTTAAAGCCGTTCGTTATACCGGAGCCTGAGGTGACAATAACGGAGAGAACTAGCGAAGATGAATGTTTAATATTGGGGAGCGATGGGTTATGGGACGTGGTGACAAACGATACAGCTTGCAGGGTGGCGCGTATGTGTTTACGCGCTCAAAAGCCAGCATCACCACTGATGTCACACGGAAATGAGGCGGCCATTCGGGGTGGTGGTGGCGGATCCGAGAGTTACGACAAGGCGTGTTGGGATGCTTCCATTTTGTTAACCAAATTGGCCTTGGTTAGATATAGCACCGATAACGTTAGTGTTGTGGTGGTTGATTTGAAGAAACATCAACGGCTTTGATTAAAAAGTAAATAAATAAATAAATAGAATTTTGGAGACCGATACTTTTAGCTTATATAAAGTTATTAAATGATTTGAATGAAAAACTTTTTTTTCTTTATTTATCTTCCCATCTTGATTGAAATTGTAAAATTATAAATGATTAATAATATTTTTATCTCTGATTAGTGTTAAATGTAATTAAATGAATAAGGAGTCCACCATGTTTGACCAAATGAAAGCTTAATTATTTTCATTAAATAGTTTATTATAGTTTTCCACATCTTAGTTCTTCAAGCTTTTATATGAATTTTATCTATCAAGTAGCCCAGTGGAGTCGCTAGTGAAGCGCTCATTTCTTATTTAGTGAAGACCGAAATAAAAAAAAAATGAAAAGAATTTTGTTAAGAATGCATATAACGAATACTAGAAAGGTTTAATGTCCAATTATGTCTGTAGGTTATATTTAACTACTACAAATGGAAATTATAATGTGGGGTTTTATCTTCAGCTATAATCTCTAATTCCACTTAAAAATGAAAATATATTCATGTTTTAACAATTTTAGCATTTATTTATTTTTTTATTATTGGCACATTAACCGTGATATTTTTTTAATTTTATGAACAACCTATAATAACATCAAATTCATTAATAATATATAGAATAACTATCTCTTGCTTTAATTATTTTTTTCGAGACGTACCAAATATAATTAAGTTATAATAAAGTAAGTGGACAGCTTTTGTTTCAAATCCATAATCACAGAAAGGAAAACAAGATGTAGAGAAAATCTCGACTATTTGACCGAATGTCTATGCAAGTTGTAGAAAAAAAGTGATTCTTGTATATATATAATGATGATTCATATGAATTATTGTGGGAATATATTTACCAAATTTAATCCAAATCCCAACAGTATCAAATTCCTTCAACGATATCATATTTACTGTCATTTTGTTCTTGCCAAGTAATCAATTGTATTTCCACTTATACTATCGTCGTTGTAAGATTCTTATGTCATACTTTCATAATATTTAGGATCGAGTCTAATTATATTATGTCAAAATTAAGATTAGATCAAGGTCATGTGGAACCTTTTAAATTTTAAGCCGTTCTATCCTGTTGTCTATTTGTCATCCCTAATCCTAACACTCTCAGACCTACTAACATTCAATTATTTAGTTTTATGAACCCTACGTGGTTAATGGGATTTTATTCACCCTTAAAGTCCTAAGTTATAGCAGCTGTATCAGTAGGTGTTTATAAATTATCTATAACTAAGAAAGATTTTGAAATTTTAAAGGTTAATTTCACCAGACATTTCAAAAATAATGATCAAATTCTAAATTAGTGTCTAAATTTCGAAACGCCTCAAAATTGTATTCTCAAATTAAACCATCATTCCAGTAAATACCGAAAGGTAAAGACTGCAAGTTGAACATGCTCCTGTTATAATCGTTTAAATATCTTAAACGACATTCAAATAAATATGCTTGAGAAAAAAATCATCGACTTTACATGAATAGTAACCCTTTTGATCAACTCAAAATGATCTTCGTGAATAAATGATTAGAAATGAAAAAATATATATTTACAAATATATATTTACAAATACAAGTACAAACCACAAGCAATACTAACACAAAATACAAATAATTATCCTAATTAAAATACTTTTGAATTTAGATTAAAATAAACTTAAACAAAATATAAGAATTAAACCAGAATAAAATCTTAACAGAAAACTCAACTATAGTACCTACATATGAGTCATGAGACTTGCACCTAGAGTCCTAGACTAAGTCAAAGTTCGGTTTACACCTTCTAAGCAAATATATAAATTGTATGAAAAATTACTCAAAGATCATTAGGAGTCGGTCAGGTTCGGTTGAGTTTTAAGCCTACCTTAATTTGATCGGAGTATTATAATTTTAACTCCGAACTTGGCCCTAACCTGAATTTTCAAAATAAAAAACTCGACCTATAGGGTCAAGTCGAGTCAAAACCTATTAGATCTGGATCCCATGTCCATCCCTAATCAGACCAACCTTCAAGCTCGACCCATAGGTCTATTTTCATCCCCATCAAGAAGCATATCTAAGCTTTATTACAGATTAACTAATAGAAAGTATAAAAAAATCACTATATAAGAAGAAACAGAGGAAATCAATATGAATTTAACTTAACAATAAATATTTTATTTTGCCATATTATCCAATGAAATGAAATTCTAAATGAAAAATGACCCTACCACTTCCCTCAGAAAACAATTAAAACAAAACTTGCAGGTAATGTATGTTAGAAATAAAATACAAAAGGATATGTAAAAACATACCAGGCTCCATTTCAGCTGAAGATATCAAATTATCCCTAGGGACCTCAGAAGTTTCTGATGTCCTCCCCGGTCCGATGACTGTATATTGTTAAAACTTCAATAATCAAGGAGCTGTTCTTTTTTATTTGGGAACAACCCTTGGCGGGATTTGTATTTAGCATGTCTAACTACATCTTCAAGTTCCATTAGTTAACACCACAGGGGGAGTGCGACTTCGAGTGTTTAGTTCCATTGGTTCAACTGCGGAGTAGGCGTTTGTCACATGCCAAGACCCTGTAACTTGCATGAGGACCCTCGGATGTATCACGTAGAGCCGGATGCCAACCCATGGCTTTTGCAATATCTTGAAGTTCATCCATAACATCAAGAGAATCGCGGATGTATACTCGTCCGCCAGGTCGCAATATCCGGTCCATTTCAAGCATGATGGTAGACATATTACATCTGATATACAAGTGGAGAATAATCAAATTATCAACAAATCTGATATACTAACACTTCTCGTCAATAAGACTTCCAAATCATACACATAGCGACAGACTATCCAGAGTCCAGACATGCTAACCCATACTATAAAATTAACAATTTTCAATTGTAAGTTATAAAGGTCATAAGGTGTACCTTTTCCTCTCAATTGAAAAGAGGCCAGCTGCATGCAAAAAGTCATAGGTCCTCGGGTATGTATCAAATGGCTCACACCTGTAAAATTACACACAATTTAACTTATAACCCTGATAAAGCAGTGATAACACACATAGCATACTTTAAACTTTTAGATTAAATCGGCTTCATTGGCCTAACAATACACAAACACATACGTATATGCCCATGTATATTAAATGGACAACTTTTTGAAACAAGGAAAAAGTTAAAACAATAATCCAAAAATAAGAAAAAAGCAAGGGAAGGGATAACTTTTCTGACATCCAAAGTAATGAGTTTTTGGCCACAAGTAACTACTGATTAAAGATATCGATGAAAGTGCGGGCATTACTAATCCTATCCAATTCAATCTGATCAACTATGGAGAGTTTCCTGATTGGAGTTATGGTTAAGAAAAAGTACCAGTCATGCATGACCCCTATTAATCCACGATCATATATAACAGGCAAGGTGTTGGGCCCACTAACAGGGACCACATTGAGAACCCAAGCATCAAGTTGATTGTCGATCAATGCTGCAGCAAATCTGCACAAAATACATAAAATATAGGTTTAGAAATACTGCAACAAGTATCTTAATTGTACCGTGCAAGACGAGGTTTAATAGAATACCCTCCAAAGCTAGCTTTCATGTCCATAACATTCCTTAGTTTAAACTTCTTCCAATGTAGAGAACGGACATAACTTGCCACTATTTCATTCCAGTATTTTGATTCTGCCTTGAAGAGTTCTTTTCTAGCTATGTAGGAATCAATATGTATGCTCTGCAGCCTGTCAGGTGGAGTTTGCAAACGAGCAGGCCACGGAGCAACATTTGCACCATATCCATTCTCAGGAAGTCGACTAATGCATGCCTTTAGATCAACATACCTGACAGATTATGCAAATACCCTGTGACTAACTTGAAACTACTCACATTAAGAAACAAACAAGTTTAAATTGGCACCCTTAAGCATGGAAGACCTAATGATAACCAACTACCAAGAAGCACTAACAATAAGGACAAGAATGAGCAATTCCAGATTTCAAAATAGGTGTAGAAATTAATCTTCAGAGACTGACGAAGTTAAAATAACATGCAAGTGAAAAAAACATTGTTCAATTGATAGAACCATCAAAAACAAAATCAGCACAGAGAAGTGAAATCATGCCAGTTGTCAGTTTCGTACGGCAGTTGGTCAATTAAACTTTCAATGGTCAAAAAGACCATAGGCAAAACTCCAACAGAGTTTCAGAAAAGCAATTATATTCACAAATTTCTTCAAGGTATATACACTAAAAGCAATATACACCAGCTAGTGCACAGCAATATGCATAGAACAAGTATATAAGGCTTCAAGCATTCAATTATATGATTGCTGATACTCAAATCATCCGCATATGCAGGGAAGGGCACGTATAACTAAAAATCAGCCATTCAAGTTTGATGATATTGTCACATTATCAATTGTTTTCCAAATAAAAAGAAGAGACTGAACATACCAAACATTATCCGGGTCATCATTTGGATCACACAGAGGAGGAATAGTCCCAGCCTCACGGTTGAAATAACAGCTGTTATTAAAAGGTTTCTGCCATATTGCAATGTACCCTTCTTTCTTTACTAGATTCCAGCAGAGGCGAGTTGTAAGGTTAAGCATCTCTGGAAACAAAGAAGATTAAAAAATAATCATGCATGGCAAACCTAATACATAATTTCTTACAAACTGCCACACAACATATTTCACCAAATGAGCACAAGCCAAATAGCATAAATGGTAAACCAGGATAAAAAGAAAATGTCAGTATAATTTGAAGTTGAAATTGCAAATGCACAATGAGTATTGTAGTTATCACATTTCTGCGCATGCTTAACATGAACTCTAGGTCCAACATTTCTACCTTCCCATTGTTCTTCAAGGGCTTGTTCATGCTTGTAAACAGGCTGCGCTGCCCAAGAAAAATATCCACCAGCTCTGAGCATTCTATTCACCTCAAGGAGCAAAATTCCTTCTTCATTACAAACCACAGAAGGATAAATCAAAAGATGTCCCAGAAGTTGATTAAAAGAAACATCAAAGTCATATTCTATAAACATCTAATGGAGCAATAATGTTTATTAAATATAAACAAGTTTTTGTTTAAAAAGAAAAGGTAGAAGATGAAAAAAAAAGTTCATTGGCAAATATAAAGGAAACTGGAATTATTGAAAAATTTCCTTACTGGAGAAGAGCAACAGATACAATATAGAATGAGTATATAGGGTAGTCAAATCCTGAAGTTAGTGAAGATATGATATTTGAAATAATACAATAAAACTTCATCAGATAAAATATTTTCCTTACTATGCTTTGCAACCAAAAAATGACTAGATAAGACTTGAACAAAAAGTATACCATCACGAGTCCAGTTGATACAACATCTTGAGCAATGTATCAAATCAAAGGCTTGACTTGGGTACAATAAACGACGAGTTGCAAATGCAGCTACCATTGCAGGCACTCCACGTTCAAGTGCAAATTGAATCTGGTTTTCATGGACATCTTTAGGAGCTATTGACATGGTTATAACATTCCGTGACAGCAAATATGCACCAAAACTTGCCACACCACATCCAACGTCCAGAGCAACACGAATATGATGACCAAATGTAATCTCAGGAACCATCTGGATATACGGATTAGAACCTGATTGTCAGAAATAAAATCCATATATAAAATTGCTTGGAGTTTTTCATGCATACATATAAGACTTTAAAATTTTTCATAACCTTAGACATTTGATCCAGGTACTGGTCCGCCCCATGTATGAATTGTGTGCCACCTCCAGGAAACTTGAACTTATCCTTCCCTTTTCTGGAAATCCAATTCTGACCACCCTTGTCATCTACCAGACGCGAATGTGGGACATTACTGAACCATACCTATCATCCATTGAAGAAGTGTAACCTATTAGAAAACTGCATATGCTACATACAAGTAAGAGAAAGATTTTTAGGATAATTGCTGAAATAAGTGAAAGTTAACAAATCATACAGTAACAAGAGCAACTTCAAAACAAACCCAAAATTTTATCTCTTTTTTATATAATTGTATATTAGAATATTTAATTTCCACAAATATTCTCTATTTCCTTGTTCAAGAACCCTAATTCTTGGTCACCAAGGATTATAAACCTTGTAAAAATGTAATGGCCTGTGGCTATTTTTATCAATCAATAAAATATAACAAAAAGACTTTTGGCAACTGTTTGGAGCTTGATCCTCGAAGTGATCAAATTTTAATTTCTCTTGTTAATTTTCCCAATTTCCTTTTGATAAAACCATAGGTTCTTATCATTCTTTGTTTTAGTCTAAATTATCAAAGATGCATATCTCGATTCTCCCTAGGATTTATTTTCCGTGAAAATCTAAAGATACCAAATCCGTTTTTAGAACTCCAACGCATGTAATAATTTAACAAAAACTTAAATAGATAATAAGTAATTTAACAAATATATCACTTGGTTAGTGCTCCCTAAACACCCAAAACCCCAAAAAACTAACAAATAAACTCATAGTATGTTGTTTTTAATTAAGTGATTATGAACTCCTGTCTCTAACTCAGCTCCATAAACTGCATGCAGAACTTGAGTATTGACAGAGTTTAGACGAAGTAATTAAATATATTAGAAACAGGAATACATAAAGCATGCATTTCATTCAACAAAATATATTCAGAAATTAATCAAAATAATTTACCTCATCACGGCTTTTAGGCCACGGGATCGGTGGTCGATATCCTTTGGGAGGCGGAACCAAGCAATTCAATCCTTTCCCTTTTTCCGGACATTGCCGTTCAAATCTCTCCCCGTTCTTCGTCGATTTAAGCCTCTTGATCGCTTCCACATTATCCAAACAAGGTACATACTCTCTCATAGTCTGGTCACAAAGCCCAAACTTCTTAACTCGAAATGTAGACCTAGCATATTCCTTATTGGTTTCCGTCTCCATCTCCGTTCCGTTTCCCCAATCCTCCACCAAATCCGGATCGAACTCCCCGATCTCAAACTCATCCGACATCGTACCATTCTCATCAACGATCCCGTAACTCTTTATCTCAGGCGGAGGAGGAGGAGGTGGAGGTGAAGCTGCCTTCGACTCCGACACAGATTGCTGCACATTACTTATAACTGGATCAGCTGGTTCCGGTTCTGTGGCATTAATGAGAGCAGAAATATTGAATTCTTTATTGAAATTGGGAGAAATAACAACGGAAGGTACAAACGACGTCGTCAAGGAAGGCAATTGGCGGGAGAAGAAGACTAGCTGACGGGAACCGTCGGACCAGTGTTTGCCTAAGCAAAAGAATGAGACGAAGATGAAAACGAAAGCCGCGAATTTGATCACCGTTTGGCTCTTGGGGAACTCGACATTGCCGAGAAGTTTCATTGTTTGAAAAACAAAACCGACGGCGGTGGCGGTAGCGGAGATCTGGAATTCTGGATTGTCGTTTTCGAATTTAGAGGAATTATATAAAATAGTTGTACTGCAGTGGCATTTTCGTAATTTTCGTTGGGTGGAAAAAAGAGCTCGTAATCTGTGAAGTAACGAATTTTCGGAACTATTAAGTGATGTTTATTTTGCTAGATGCTAACCTCACCTGGCCGTGAATAAATTTGTCTTTTTGCTTAATCATGGAATTAGTCCCTATATTACGTTAAATATAATATTTAATCTACTTAAATTAATTTAACAATGATTTGGTTCATCTAACTTTATAATATTATTGGTTGATCTAAATTGATAACTTAACTAATTTCTATTGTTAAAGTAGAGAGTGAAGCTACTTTTCTTAAATTCACATTATAACTTTAATGAAAATACTTATTTAATTATCAATTTAAACTTGCTAATAACGTTATTAACGGATAATTAAATTTTAAATTTCAAGGTAGGATTGTAATTATAATTAGATCATTGTTATGTTTGGTTATTAATTAATAAGATATAACAAAAGGATGTAACTATTGGTTAGTCTAGCCATACGAGATTCTTATTTTTAAAATAATGATCAATAATTATATTTTGAAACTGAAAATGTAGTAAATTAAGTTAGAAAGATTATTTATATGATAAGTTTAAATTAGTTCATTAATAAATTGGATACAAATAATTAAAAATATAACAAAACAAAAATAACAATGAAGGAAAATTTTGAGATAAAGTGAAATAAGGTATTTCATTTAATTATTTATTATTTTTAGGATACAAACATGTAATCTTTCTAAGTTACAATTTATTCAATTGAAATATTGTTAAAAATAGTAAAATTACTTAAATAATATTTTTTTAAAAATATCTCATATAAGGTGTTGAAAAAAATATTTTCTCATATAAAATCATTACTACATTACCTTATTGAAGACATTTGGACCAACCAACAATTTTAAGAAGATGCATGATTATTTGGTGACTTCTCCAAAATGCAAGCATGTCCTGCAAGCTAACAACGTTGCAATTCGAATTGTGTCTTTCCAAAAACGTTGAGTAATCTAGACGTTTTCAAGATAACGTCAGGTAATCCAGGCATCTTTCATGTTATATTGTACCAATGACTTTAGATGAGAAAATAATTGTTTCATCCCTTGTACAAGGAAATATTTTTTTCTGCAACATTATCTAAACAATTTTACTGTTACAAATAGATTATTTCATTGTTAAAATTGAAACGAAAGTGTTATGATATGATAACAATTTTTGTTCTTAAAAGTTATATATTATATCAATTTAGTTTTAATTCAAAATAATTCAATAATTCAACTCTTCATATTTAAAAAATCTATCAATTCGATGTTTATTCTTCTCATATCGATATTATAGTAATTTCTTATTGCTTAGGATTGCTCATTGATCTCAATATCTTACGTTACATTTTTTAAGCTAATTATATAATGTTAAATATTATAAACGGAGGTATTATTTTTATTATTTCGTTAGAGATATTAAGCAGAGGAGTTGACAATTTTTTTATGAAATCTAATTTTCCGTGTACACTTATAAGATACCTTCTTGCATAGTATGTTTATTCTTTCAAACAATCAAGCGTAGGTTGTACTCATCGTCGATCAATATTATCTTCGAGTCGCATATTTTGCCACGCGGGTACTTTATAAAATTGTAAGTTGAACTTGCTTAATCATATAATTGACTAATATTCATTTATGAAAAGTTTTATCGGTAATTTATTATTGTTTATGGTAGAATACAACTATTCAACTATTGCTTTGATTTGGTTGACTCGTTTGATTTAATTATGTCACAAAAATATTAAATTGATAAAAAAATTTAAATAATAATGATTAACACTATTATTATTATTATTATTATTATCAAATTGAGACCAAACAGATAGAATATATAAATTTTAGAGAATAAACCATTATTATATCATATCGCATTGAAATTTTATTTTAATTTTAACAGAAAATTAATATATTTATAATAATATTATAAAATTGTAATTAAAATATTCTAAAAATAATATATTACTATTTTATTTAAAATTTAGGAGTGAAATTAATAGGTGACATAAACGATAAAAATATAACAATTGAAAGTTAAGAGACTACAATAGGAATGCAATAATAAAATGTGACCGATACTGTAGTTTATCCATAGAACGACAACTTATATACTTTTTGCCTGATACAATCCGAAAACTCCACCGAAGAGAAAAAAAATCTCCTAGAAACTATTTCACATTCTCCCGTCGGTCATTCCGCCGCCCACCGCTATTGCCACCGCCATTGCCATTGCCACCGCCACCGACACGGCTACCATTACACAACAGAAAATTGACTTATCCTCTTCCATTTCGCATTTTACTCTCATAATTTCTCCGAATTTTACCCAGTAAATGAAATTATAGAATTAGGGTTTTGAGGACTCAACGAGGAAAAGAAAGAAGAGCAACATGGATGATTCCGAGGACTCAGAATCGAAATCAGTGAGCGAGACAGTAAACGGATCACACCAGTTCACGATCAAGGGTTACTCCTTGGCGAAAGGGATGGGTCCCGGGAAATGTATAGCCAGCGATATTTTTACCGTCGGAGGTTACGATTGGGCGGTTTACTTTTACCCCGACGGTAAGAATCCGGAGGATACCGCGATATATGTTTCGGTTTTCATTGCTCTGGCTAGTGAAGGTACTGATGTTCGTGCACTTTTTGAGCTCACCCTTGTGGACCAGAGTGGGAAAGGGAAGCATAAGGTTCACAGTCACTTTGATCGAGCGTTGGAGAGTGGGCCTTATGCGTTGAAGTACAGAGGAAGCATGTGGTAACAGTTTTGAATTTTGGAACTTAGGTTTTGGTTCATAATTTATGTTTTCTTTTAATTATTTGTTTATTTGTTTTCAGAATGAATTGATAATTTGTGGAGGTAATTGTTGTTTTTGTTTCTGTTATAATTATTGGATTTATATATGTAAGCAATTTTGATCGAAAGTGGGATGTTGAGCTTGAGGTTTGTTGTGGGATGTCACTGTTTATATGCTTTTATTTGATGAATTGGTAAATGTGGGTTTGGTTTTAGGACTTGTAGGTCACTTTTTTCATGAATTTAATTACATTTAATTTGAGGATCCAAGCATTAAACTAAAATTTGCATTAATTGTCTAAGAAATATCAATCTCATTTAATAGTAAAACAAGAAGATGGGGGTGGTTCTAGGGGCACTGTCGTGTAACTTGGCCGTTTTAGATGAAATGATATGTTAGTAAGTTCCATTTGGTTTCACGTTTTCACTTCAAATTTTATGTCACAAATGTCCGCTGGGTAGTCGGAATATGTGCATATTGTTTCCATGATCATCAAAGTTTATTATTTATATTGTCATATTCATCCCATGAGATGCTAAAATTACATGCCAATAATATTGGGATCCATGTCCCGTCTTATTTTGAGAAGGCATTGATTTTATGTTCTTTCCTCCATGCATTCAGGGGTTACAAGCGTTTTTTCAGAAGAACAACTTTAGAAGCTTCTGACTATATAAAGGATGATTGCATAATCATGAACTGCACTGTTGGAGTAGTCAGAACTCGCATCGAGGGTCCCAAACAGTGTTCTATTCGTGTATCGCCATCAGACATGGGTCAGAACCTTAGGGCTTTGTTAGAATCTGAGATTGGTTGTGATTTAATTTTTCAGGTTGGTGACGAGACATTTAAGGCACATAAGTTGATCCTTGCTGCTCGGTCACCTGTTTTTAGAGCACAGTTTTTTGGGCTTGTAGGGGATCATAACATGGATAAAGTAGTTGTGAAAGATGTTAAGCCTTCTGTCTTCAAGGTGATGCTTCTTTTTTACTTTGTTTAGGATTTTGAATAATGAGATCATGTTGCGTAAGCAAACCCTTGACAGTAGTAATACTGAATATATGATTTTTCTTGATTCACTGAATTGGTAGTAGAAGTATGATCTAATTTGTGGTTCTTAAGTTTTCCTTGCCTATATGCAATTATTCAAGTATAGGTTTTAGTTCTATAGATGTGCTATTTTCATTTATTGGCTGATTATTTCTTGTTCTTGCAGGCAATGCTCTTGTTTATTTATACCGACAAGCTTCCGGATATGCTGGAGATTACAGGCTCCGCGGCTACATGTGTGCCTATTAACATTGTGCAGCATCTTTTGGCTGCTGCTGATCTGTACAATTTAGATAGGCTCAAAGTGTTGTGTGAGGCAAAATTGTGTGAAGAACTTAATGCTGACACAGTGGCAACGACCCTTGCACTTGCCGAGCAGCACCATTGTGCACAGCTTAAGGCCGTATGTTTGAAATTTGCTGCCACTTCAGCAAACTTGGGAGGTGCGTGTTCGTAGACACTACCGGTGCATAGTCCAGGCTATGTAAACTTGGTTCCTACTGTTTGCTCTTCTGAATTCTTTTGATATCCAACTCCTGGAAGATGCTTATATTTCAAGTACCAAACTCTCTTGAAGGTTAAGGCCTACGGGATATATAATCGAATAACCTTGAAGAGGGTTTGGCACTTGAATTTTTTTTTTATCGTCAAGAAATTGCTTATTTCTGTTGAAAAGTTGGAATTCTATATGATAATATAAACTAGCATATGGACATGTTTGGCAATGGTATTATGGTGTGACACATAAACTAATCTATTCTTCCAATGTTTTGCAGCGGTAATGCAATCAGAAGGGTTCCGGCCCTTGGAGGAATCTTGCCCGTCTCTGTTTTCAGAGCTGTTGAAAGCCTCCGCACTTGTCGAGGAGTGCTCGAGCCTGCCATCAAGCAAGAAGAGGAGTGGCAGCAGTCTCTATGGAATGGATCTAGCAGCAGAAGCTCCCATGGAAGAACCAGAGAATCCCAATGAAAGGTGTGTTCGGAGGCGATGAACGCAATAGGTAAGCATGTTTGAAGTGTTGCTAGGACACTTTTCAAAGGAGTGCGTTTTTAACAAAACCCTAACGACGCATGTATATTACATGTCAATATTAGTTTTGCATTTTTTATTCTAGATCCGACTTTGTCCTGTCCTGAATTCGAATTATATGTCCTGATACTCATCAAATATGAGTGTTTGAGATGAATTTCCAAGAAAAACGAAAATTTGAAGGGGAAATACAGAATTTCTTTAGAACACTAGATTATGAAATAATGCTAAAACACTTAATAAATGTATAAAATCAAAGATTACTTAATAACCATAAGCCTGAGGCTACTGGTTTACACCATGGAAATCTGGCCAGAGAAAAGCACCCATAGCAAACCTTCTCTTGTAATCCAAATCACCCTCAGCAGACAATCCATATTCAGCCAAGAGCCTATCAAGCTTCCACTCTGGCATGTCCGAGTAATCCTTCATGGTGTACCTTGGATAATGAAGTGGCATCTGAAAGAAGCCAACTCCATTCACTTGCTGCTTCCCACTCTCCATCTCGAAATCTCACTTTCAAGCTTTTGATCTTGTATCGATGGCGGCAAACATCAGTTAAAAAGGAATATTTATATGTTGCAGGGTATCACGAGGATTGGTTGGCGCACCTTCTTGCGTCTCTCTGGTGCAGTGATAAGCTCTGCATGTATACAAATTGCAATGCTTTCGCGTGTGTTCTGTTTTTCTAGAGGTGAGGATTGCATGAATAGTCCCCACGCCCCACATGCATGAATGTGAAACCATGCCATTCCCATGAATCTCTTTGCAGTTTGCAAGTTTTGAACCATGGGTTAACTGGTTTAATCATCGACGAAAAATGGGTTGTCGTCGTTTTTTGTGTACCGTCTCTTTAATGTCAGGAAATGTAACACGTTAACGATCTAAACTCAGAAGTTGGCACACGCAAAAGTAATCAAGATAAGGAATACATTACATTATTATGATTATTATTATGACCCCGTCAAAATGATTGCAACTAGAAGTATCCTAAGAACACCTAAAATCCCTAAACCGAGAGATGGAGATAGTATTCCTGCCGTCCAATATAGAGAAAACAGGTTCCAAGTTAGGCATATTCCCCGAACTCTTCATTTTTCTTAAGGTACTGTTCTAAACTAGGTTTGCTAGTTTATAATATCCAACCTCAAAATAAGGTTGGATTTGAGAAGGATAAATTTTGTTTTCTAATATTTCGGGTCATTTCAGGTTTGACATTATTTTAAGTTTAGGTTATTCAGGTTTTTCAAGTCAAATTATCACATATTTTGTTACTTTGAATTACGCGCTTCATTTTTAATTTTGCACCTTTTAAACTAAAATTAAAATGTTTATATGTAAGACATGATTATCTAATCGAAATTAACTAGGGATGGTAACGGGTTAGATTAAGTCGAGTTTTTGGTTAATATGACTTGAAAAAAATATATTCTTCACTTGAATTTTACTTGACTCTAGAAATATATCTCCTTTCCAGTTTAAAAAGTATATTTTCCACTCGACTCGAACCAACTAGAAAAGATATTTTCTTTATTTGAATTGATATGACATAAATATATATATAATTATTTTTATTTGTTAAAATAGAGAACTATTCGAAGAAGAAAAAACTATAGAGAGAATGATGTCATAATAATTATCTCCAAATTTGTAGAGAAAAGCATACACTAATCTCAAATCGGGTTGGGTTGTAAATTTTTTACCCTGAACCTGAACATAATTTTACCCTTATAAAATTTGATCCGATCCGATTTAAATTTATTTTTTAAAATCAAGTTAAAATTCATTGAATTCAAATTAAATTATCATTTAATGATTAAACGATAAAAAATAAACCCGACCCATAAATGGGGACGTGTTATGTGTGCTTTGGTAGTCCAATAGCTGAAGGCCCAATATGTTCCCAATGCAATCACATGTTATCCAATCGACATCAATTAATTGATTATTGAGGTAGGCCAATCTCGAACAATGATTGGGCTTCAATTCTCCATCACATGATCTATTGTGCCTAACGATAAGCCCATCGATTTCAACCACATGATCGTGGGAGGGGCCCCAATTGGAATCATCAAACTTTTCTTATCTCAAAACACAACAATATCAACATCATTAGTGATTTTGGGTCACACAATGTTTCATGCTTAGTGGCCCTAAAACATGTGGTTTAACGTAATAGACGGTCCAAAAATGTTTTAGGCCTTTATGGATCCGTACCCCTTAGGCTTGGAAATTAATAGTTTGTAATTTTAATTAAATTTTGTAGTTTGTAGATATTTCTACTGATAGACTTGTCTTAGGGTTAGTTATGAGTCTTATTCAATATACCCGCGTTTTAAATTTAAAATTGGTTCGATTTGATCTCATAAATTCGATTTACATAGATCAAATTTTAATGACATTGTAATGAAATTACGCTGGAGGTGGAAAGGTATGTCTTAAATTTTTATAGCTGAATTGTATTTTAAGTCGTTAAAAGTGTTGAAATCAATATCTCATGCATTAACAATGGAAAAAGAAGAGAACTTAATATTATTGTATATCTTATCTAAGGTTGAAGATTTTAGATTTTAGATTTTAGATTTTAGATTTTAAAAATAAAAGTAAAATTTATGGGTTAAAGATTATATTTAAGGTTTAAAACCATCTAAAATATATCATATGGTGTTTTATTTTAAAAAAGTGCTTCTGTAATAATATTTTCACTCAATATATGAAATTATAACTTTTATGAAAATTAATTTAACAAAAATAATATTGCGATAAATAGATCACATACAAATTTATGGGTGTTATTTTTATTTTTATATTGTATTTTAATTATTTTAAAAATTATATAAAAATATGAAATGTAAAAGTATGTTTTATAACAAGAAGACAAGCGAAAGTCGAGAGAGATACGGGTGGTTATATTTAGGGATGGGCATGGTCGAGTTTCTGCCAACTTGATCCTACCGGTAAAATTTACATCATTCATCCCACCTGACCAACTTGAAAAATATATACCCTCCACCCTACTCGAACCCAATCCGATTATTTGAGATAAAATTTGAACTCGATCCGATCCGACCTAAAATAATAATAAAATATTATTTTTATTCAATAAAAACAATTATTTAATTGAAAAATAATATATAGAGGGATATTATTATAATTATTTTTAAATATATAAGGTAAAATTATTTATTGGGGTCGAGTCGGGTTAGATATTTTCACCCTAACCCCGAACCCGACCTGACTCAAAAATCACCTTAAAAAATTAGATCTGAACTCGAATTAAAAAAAATAATTAATATTGAGTCAGAACATATCGAATTCGGGTTATATGCCCATACCTAGTTATATTGTAATAATAATGTACCGATTATTATTGACCTTTTTTTGCGTGATTTGACTTGTGAACTAAATATGAGCAGACCACGAATTGTGCGAACCCTAAAGCTAAAGAGAAACGTATTCAAATTTAAAAATAAATGCATAAAGTGGAATTGTACTGCCACCTATTACTACTTTTCTTCTTATTACACTGACATACCACACTATCAACAATTATTGTTTCTTATTTCAACCCAAAAATGAAAAGAAAATTCTCGAACGTTTGTACCAATAATGCATCAAGGCAGTGTTCGTTTTAGGGTTTTCAAAAGACATCCGAATTCGGATCCATATACATTGTTATTTTGTTAAATTTGGCATTTCTACTACATGTAGTTAGGGATGGGCATTGTTCGGGTTTTTGATCCACCTTGTAGACATCCATTTTTGTCCGAGACAACAAAAAAATTTATTATTTATTTATTATTATTATTTTATTAATTTATATATATACATTTTTTTGCAAATCTTCCATTCCCATCAAACAACCCACTAAACCACGTTCAATCCCACTATCTCCACCTACTCAAGTACCCCACGACTATCACCTTATCTATCACTCATTTTTGTTCCTAAAGGGGGGAGGAAAAACACAAAAACGGGGCCACGTTGAGTTGGCACGAGGAGGAAAGGGGACACAACAAGGGTTTTGATTCTTTTCTTCTCTCTTCCTCTGCTCTCAAATCTTTTTTTCCTTTTCCAGTTCTACGGCCAAAAACCCAGATGTCTTCTTTGCTTCCAACCAGCAAAGCGATGGCTCCATATTCAAGACACATATACTAGATTGTCTATGTGTAATGATATCCAGTCCCGAAGCTGCCAAACTCGTACTGCTCACCAAATCTCGTTTCTTCAAGCCAATATTTCCCGCAAGCAAAGAGAGGACGCCAAGCATGCGTACAGTGGATTACATGCATCTATATATATATAAATTGGCACACGAGCGCATGTGAGTTGGCTACGGAAACAACCGACGCTAAGCTTGGAGGTGACAGGAAAATCGGTTATGGTGGTGGTTCCAGTGTATAAGATGGCGGTTCCAGTGGTAAACGTGGAGATACGGACACGGTGGTAACCGCGGAAGCTATGGTGGTGGTCGTGGAAGCTACGGAGGTGGACATGGAAGTTACGGGGGGATCCAAAAGATTCAATCTTGGCTTTGCCAACTTACGCTGCTGCTCCAGACTTCACTTACCAAATCAAAAGCCGGTATTCCGACGGAGATGTGCTGAACATGATCAGAGACGGCTCGTTTCAAGCCAAGTTCGAAGATTTTGTCAAGATTTTTTCTAACAAAGAAAGGCTTGCCACAATGAAGAATGAAGCAATCCTTGTTAATTGTAGCAGGGGCCTGGGGTAGATGAAGTAGCTCTAGTTGAGCATTTGAAGCAAAATCCGATGTTCCGAGTTGGTTTCGATGTCTTTTGCATGAAACCCAGGCCTGCCGAGATGAAGAACGTTGTCGCCGTGCCACACATTGCTTCTGCGTCGAAGTGCACTCGTAAGGGGATGACAACGCTAGCTGCTCTAAACGTCTTGGGCAAGATCAAAGGATATCCAGTCTTGTTTTCACTCAAACAAAGCGTGATGTTGGATCAGCTAACACCTGTTGCATGTTTGTAAGTTGCATATTTGAGGGTTGCATGTTTAATAGCACAAGTGGCATGCGTGAAAACAAACCCCACGTGACCAAGGACTTGGGTAAATTCTCCATATGGTCCTTCAACCATTATGAGTTTTATTTTATTTTATTTTATTATTTTATTTCCTTTGATTTATTATATATATTTTTTACAATCTAACATTTTTTAGAG